GATGATAAGAGGAATGCAAAGAGAACAGAAAGAAAGATTTAAAGGAACTATAATAACACGAAGATAAACGCAACACTCCATGGGATATTCATAAATTCAGTTGTGTTAATTAAGGAAAATATAATAATATATATACGCTAAATCATCATTGAAGAGTTGCTAAAAATATGTTGTTGTTTTTTTGGAACTTTCAAAGGTGATGCTGGAGCCCCCTTATATATTTTAAGTTGCACTGGAATGTCTTCTTAATTTAACTGTGATCAAAAACCCTGTGAGATTGTATAACACCTGTTATGAAAGAAACTAGAAGTTTAAAAAAGATAGAAATAAATAAGTGTTTGAATAATTTTCAATCTAGAAAAAGTACTTCTAACTATTATGGAAGCTTCAACAAATAACTGATTATTAAGATCGCTTCGGTGGTAAAAGCTGAGTTAAAAAGCAAACATATAACCTTGTGAAAAAACAAAACAAAAACATCTGGTATCAACAACTCAAGAAATGTTTGGGTTTGTGATAGTCTAAAGATAAATCTAGAACACTATTATATATATGTCCACAATAACTGTAGATTTGTGGACTTAGCGTACAGAGAGACAGGAGAAGGGATTTTTTTGTGGATAGAATTGTGAATGTAAAACATATCAGGTGTTGTTGTTTTTTCCCTTTCGTTCAACATTTTTTGTGTTTGTCGCATAGTAAAAATTGCGCGCGGATAACTTGGCTTTGTAATGTGCCCACATTATACGTGATCTAGTGACATATTGTCATTACTCTTTGTGTGTTACTGAACTTTCCCACTGTCATAAAGAGGTTTAGAAATACTTAAATATTATGTCGACAGTTGAACCTATTGTAATCTATATAAATAAACGTCAATAAGTGTGTGTGTATCTGTTTTTTTATACGTTTCCACATTTCTTGATCAATCCGCACCAATCTTGACACAGTGATATAGGATGGCATGAGGAAGGTCATGAGGGAGTTAGACCCCCATTTAATTTCATATCTAATTTTGGAAAAAACTGCCGAATCAGCACAACTTGACACTCTGATACAGGATGACATGAAGAAGATCATGTGGGTGGTTGGACCCCTATCTAATTTCATATCGAGGGGCTGCAGAGTAAAACTATGTTATTGCACGGAATACTATTTTTTTCTCATTTTTTGACCAGTCAGCACCTAACTTGACACAGTAATACAGGATTACATGATAAAGGTCATGGGGGCTAGACACCCCTCTAATTTCGGGAAAACTACCAATGGTGTATGTCCCTCAGCATTAGAATGAACTACGTAACCACTATTGTTAGAATTCTTGAAAACAGTGTGTCTTTCTTTTCAGTATTGTACCTTTGGGTAATTTTATTGCACTTTTTAATGCTTATTATGTTAATTTAAAAAGATAGAAGCACAATTTCTAATAATTTGTCACAAACTAGTTTTTATTTCTCCCATCCAACGGAGGGTACTCCTGCTAGTATATATATAACTGTTGATTCTCTCAGTATAAACCAGATTCTCCTAGATTTTCTTCTGGTACACGTTTGCTATACTGTCTGGTGTTCTGTGCACACAAAGATTACTTGTGTCTGTCTCTTTTCTACAACTCAGTCGCGTTGGGGATTCAGATAAAGTATAGAATATTTATTCTGTCAAATCTCTAGTATGAATGGTTACTATTCTCACCTGAAGGTTCTAAGTATATCTCAGAATACCAATGAATGAAATGAGTAAAACATAGTTTGAATAAATGTAAAACAAACACTGAAGACAAACAGAAAAATGGTAGATCGTTCGGTTGGCCTATTGCATTGTGAAAATAAATTGCATTGGAATGAGAGAAAACTGAATTTAAATAGAATACAATAAAAATTAAATTAGCTTGAAAATAAACTGTAAATGGCCTAGCAGTTTGGAAAAAAAATCTGCACAGACGATCCAATCAATAGAGAAAGCATTACAAATACTTGGAAACATGGCCAAAAATTTACAGGCAAGTCTTGGCTCTTCCAAGTCATAAACGAATCTGCTTCGAACGACAATATTTCGTTTATAGCTCATCTTCTTACTCTGTAGCTGACCAATCATAATAATTTGTTGCATGATTTCAGAATTTGGTAAAGATGCACAGAGCTCTCTGGGCATAACCACCCCTCATTTTAGAACTGATAGAACATGGGGAAGACAGCTACTCAACACCAGTTACTGCCAACTCGTAGGCTATTCTTTTATCAACAAATAGTGGAATTGATCGTCACATTACAATGCCCTCACAACTGAAAGAACGAGCGTATTCGGTGACTGGGATTCGAACATGCGACCCGCAGATTGCAAATTGAGAGCGCTAACCAACAGGCCGGGATATTCAAGAAGAAATCTGGTTTTCGCGCAAAGCTACACGAGGACTATCTGCGCTAGCCATCCTTAATTTAGCAGTGAAAGACTAGAGGGAAGGCAGCTAATCATCACCCACCCACTTCCAACTTTTTGGGCTACACTTTTACCAACAAATATTTAGATAAACCGTCACGTTATAACGCCCCCACGGCTGAAAGGGCGAGCATATTGGATGCGACGGAGATTCGAACCCTCAGATTGCGAGTCCCTAATTTTTATTCGATTCGTCAACAGGAAAAATAAATTTCTATTTCCGGAAACCACGTGTTATCTACTCTGCAAGGAAGTCATTTAATTGCCAATTAGCGAACTGACATCGTTTGTGCTCTCAAATCAGGGAAAGTTAAGATGTCACTTGATCCACTCTCTGCTTCTAAACTGAGAACTTGAAAAATATAATAATTTTGAAAGAAATACATCTTAACTACATGAATCCTTTTAACTGTCCTTTCTCTCTCTGTATATACATAAGTAATTTTTAAAAAGTTGAAAAACTAAGGGTTATTAGGGATGGCAATGCCAAAGAGTACAGAATGCACAAAGCCATACAAAAACCCTTCATATGTTGCAAACTCTTCCCAAGAAAAACTTTATCTACAACTAAATGTTGAATTCCTTTCATAAAAGTATTTAAACTGAATAATGCTATAAAGTCTTCAAATAGTTAATTCCCATAAACTTGTAACATTGACTCAGTAGCTATTTATGTAGTGATTTTTGTATGGTTTTGTGTATTCATCCTTACCTTGTTTCTGTACTTTAGTTCAGTGCCCCCACCCCCAATAAATACAAGTGCATACCATGCTTAAACATTTCAAACTTTCTTTTAGTTGGAGGCCCCATGTGATCCTGTCCCTGCTGCAGGTGTTCCTTCTGCCCCACCTTTAATATGGCCCTGGCGCTAGTTAACCACTAACCCATATTCGAGTCTTTTGAGTAAAAGAAACAAGCGTTTCTTTATTTGTTAAAGAACTGTCCTTTTAGCAAAGAATTGTAGCACTTGCGGTATTTTGAGGCGTTTTATGCTATTTTCAAATGCTTCAAAGAGCGAGAAATATAATTTTATAAAATTCCATGTTCAGATCAAATTTCTGCCCAGAGTCTCTGATTTCATCTCTAAATCCTTTTATAGAATTCCGTTTCTGCTTCTAGTGACGTTAACATGAACTTTCTCATAGCTTTCTCTCTGCTACGGTTGCGTCTGTTTTATGTTGATAACATAAACAGTTATTCCCTAATATCGCCTGGAATGCATCTTAGTTTACGCTTGACATGTACATTTCACTTCTTGGTCAAGCGTCATTGTGTAACTTCTCTTATGCATTAGCCCCCCAGTAGCACAGCGGTATGTCTGCGGACTTACAACGCTAGAATCCGGGTTTCGATACCCGTGGTGGGCAGAGCACAGATAGCCCATTGTGTAGCTTTGTGCTTAACTTCAAACAAACAAATAAACTTATGCATTAATTAAATGTGCACAGCTTTTCTTCATATTGTATGTATATATGTATGTCATACAAGACGAGGAGAAATACATGCAAACAGGCTGCCGATTTACCGTCTTCGATCATAACCAATTGTTGAATTAGTTTTGTTTTAGTTTCGAGAATTACGATGAGTCAACAAAATTCATCCAATGAAGTGACAGATCTACTTGCGAGTTGGATGTGTACACTAGTTGGAGAATAGTAAGAATACCAAAGAAATCTGTATAAAAACCCATGTTTTGGGGCTAAAAGAGAATTATCCGGCGACACCTAAGACACCAGTAGTCTTGCCGCAAGTCTGTCTTGAACCAATACCATCGAATGGAAATCTGAACTTTAACAAGTTTTAAAACCTATCCCACTCAAGCTTTATGTAAATAGTTATTGCTGTCTCTCTTAGTCGAACAATGTAGTTAGGAATTGGATGTAAAACATTTAGTACTAATTAGGAAAAGTTTTTTAGCAAATTATGATTGGGCATATTTCACTTAAGGTGTTATTAATAACTTATTGGTTGTATTAAGAAATCTAATGAGTACTGTTCAAAGTTTAATCGAAGGACAATTACCTGTTCAAACTGAAAAGTTTAGTAATTTTAACAGTGAAAATTTTCAAGATACCTTCAGTAATCTCGATGTAACCGAGTGCCTTAATATATTGAATTAAAGTGTTGTTGGTGTTTTGAATCCCAGTCTCACAGTCAATTCTTTATTCTAAGTGTAAACTTCCTCAAGTTAGTGAATGTGTACTCCGCTCGCGACTGTAAATCTAGATTTTTAAAAAATCTATTGATAACTAGATTTAATTTGAACTCTAAACGACTAACTAGCCCGCGTCCAGTTACAGAATAGTTACTTTGAAAAGTCTATCCCTTCCCCTTTTTGGTCTGTAAGTAGTGTATTCTTATCGAGTTATTAGAACAAAGTAGAAAAGTTACCACATCGTAAATGATAACCTCTGTTTACGTTTATTGTCAACTAATCTCTCAATCCAGTCGCCTGATATGTCAATTATTACAAACATTTCTTTTGAAAAACACGAGTCCTACAATGTTACGTTGTACCGTTTGCCCTCCTCTATAAATAATCTTTCAATAAAATAATGAGAGTAGGGTTAGGCAATTATCACGTGAAACAGGCACAACACATTTTGAGTTTGATATAAACTTCCTGTGCTGATAGTTTTCCTCAGTCCTGCTGAAAGAAGAATAAACCAGTCTGAGTCAGTAGAGTAAAACAACAAGCTTAACAATTTATAAAGTGGGCAGTTATGTAAGTTACCTTTTATTTTTTCTCATCTAAACTAAATTTTCTGAAAAGTATATTTTATTTTTAATGGATTTTATTAAAAGTCATTCTAGAAACACAAGCGGGTAGAGCACTTTATGAGTTTTGCGCTTAACAACAAACAAAATGTAACTGATAAATATAAAAGAAATTCTGTCTACCAAAAAATTCAGTTATCTTTTCATCACATGAATAACTAAATATGTATTTAATATCCTACTTGTTTCGTTTTATAGTAATAAACTTTGCACTGTTCAAACAAAATATTGGCTTTGTCAATAAACTTTAATAAACATTGTTAATGTATCCCGAGAGGTTTATTATAGACGCTTCTGTTAACAGTTGTTTATTTTCAGTTTGTCAAGTGTATTAACATTATTAGTTATATATTTATTAACGATCCTCTTCTTACATTTAAATTAGAGTTCGTTTCTTACAGTCTTTTAGAAACTTTTCAATGCTTTGTAAATTCAAAATATAACGATCATTTTAAAAATAAGTGTTTTAACATTATATATGAGGAGTTAGTAAAAGGTACGGGGAAAATGTTTGTTTGTTTTTTAATTATGCACAAATCTACACAAGGGCTATGTGTGCTCTGCCCACCACGGGCATTGAAACCAGGTTTTTTTAGCGTTGCGAGTCCGCAGACATACCGCTGTGCCACTGGGGGGCCGGGGAAAAATATAAAAGTACAATTTTGTACGGTGAATAGTGATATTATATGTAGCTTTAATGTTGGTTAAAATCACTTAGCAAAAAATGAATATAGTTCACATTGGGAAAATAGTCTTGATAGGTAGGCTGAATGTTACCTAACTATGGAGATGTTATTACTTTTTATTATTTAAACAATACAATCTTCGTTATGTAAATTAATTGTTTGCTTGAAAATAAATGATTAAACTATTTGTAATGTTAAAAATAAAGCTGGTTTTATACACGAATTATTTATTGTTCATGTTGTTCTAGAGTCATTCTACTATTGATAATAAACTCTGAAGTTGTGAATATACGTTTCAAGTGTATTTCATTTGTTCTCTAATTAAACGTATTACTAAATCTGTACGAGTGGTTACTCCGAAAAAGGAAAACCACAGAAGAAAGAGTATTTCAGCAACTTATTCTGTTGAATTTCAATGTGCGTTTCTATACAAATTAACTTGTTTCAGTTTATGAGTTTGCAATTTCCAAGTGAATTAAGAGGTTTTATTTCTAAAAAATTTTGTTTTCATTTGTTAATCCTACATGAAAACGTGTCAGTTGGCCGGTTATGAGATCTAACATGCACATTTCAATTTTATAGAAAAAAGTTCTCAGTTACTGGCTTCAGCAATAGCAGTGTGAAAATGGGTCTTCATTCAGAGGTTTAGGAAGCAAATTATGGGGGGGTGCAAGGTTTATTTAATCGACCAAAGTGATGAAGTGTTTGCCAGAGACCAGCCATTACGGTCGTGGTCTTAGGACCCTGGAAGCTCTTGTAAAGTGGGGGCCAGGGCCCTTTCTTCCCTCCCGCTTCCTACGCCACTGTCATTGCCAATGAAACAAGCCACAATCTCCCAAAACACATTTGGATGTTTCCATAAAGTTTAGGGCAATAGGTTGGCTAGAGTGTTGGAAGTTTTATAAAGCGTGGTTCAGACTATTATTGACAACCCCACAAGGTAATCACTATTTGACAATACCTCAGCTTCTTAACTGCGTCAACGGTTCAGAGCAGTAATAGAACGACAAATTAGAATCCAAATGATCAGAAACAGAGTATAAGGACTGGATTTTTTGCTGCACGATCAATTTATTACTGCTAATAAACTCTAGATGAGCAAATTTGGTGAACTGATACAGGAATAAGCCATATCGTTTCATTGGTTAACTCACCTTTAGCTAACCACGTTGAGGTATGACTTGTGTTGGTGTCCCATATGGTCATACACTTATTAACAAATTTTTTTATCATTTAGTGAACTGTAATGTCTCTAGCACCAAATGAATATTTATGAACATATCTAATTACAATACTAATTACCTGGAACTTGTGTTGCAGTAAGGATAAACTCAGGGATGTCAGTGAAATTTTAATACCATTAATTATGCCATATCATAGGTAGGATACAGAATAGTCCGGGTTTCCAATAATTATTTTGAAAGGTTTATTTTTTGTTAAGCACAAAGCTACACAATGAGCTATCTGTGCTGTACCGAGTTTTTGACGTTATAAGCCTCCAGACTTACCACTGAGCCACTAAGGACATCCTTAAAAGTGTGTTAGAAAGTTCTATATAGGCAAACTAAATGTGCATACTTAATTTGCGAGATTTTTCTCGCCTAAAAAGGTTTACCAGGTCTGAGCAAAACAGTGTCAATTTAAAAGTATAATGTTAATGTCATTTTAAATGTATAATAAAACCCAACCTCTAAAAGCATGAGACAAATTTAATGTTTTTAAAATTTCTTTGCAGAGTATATATATACACATTTGTTTGAATTGCTTATTTGACTTTCTTATTTTGTCTTTTATTCATTCAGTAAAATATTTATTTAATATCATTTAGGTTCATTTTAAAAGGAATGTGGACTTTTCTTTTACTCGCCATTCTCCAAATCTCTACCTGTGAAGTGAGTCAAACTGATAAAACAGAGCTCCATTCGACTGGAATGGAAATACTGCAGTCCATATTTCCATCAATTGATGCAGTGTTTAAATGGTCAAATGGAGTCACATATATTTTCAAAGGCTCTTGTTATTTTCGCTACGAAGACAAAACGAACGAGATTTCAAATTGCAGACGATTATCCGCATGGGGTGGGCTAACTGGACCAGTGGATGCCGTATTTCGCTGGCGCAATGGAGTAACATATTTTTTCCAGGGCGATTGTTATTACAGATATGAGGACAAAACTGACGAAATATCAAAATGCAGTCCAGTTACAGCGTGGGGAGGAATGACTGGACCAGTTGATGCTGTGTTTCGCTGGAGTAATGGAATCACATACTTCTTCAAAGAAGACTGTTACTACCGTTACGAAGATAAAGATAATAAAATATCTAAATGCACTCCAATTACTGCTTGGGGTAAAATGACTGGACCAATCGATGCTGTATTTCGCTGGAGTAATGGGGTCACGTACTTCTTCAAAAGAGACTGTTACTTCCGGTATGAAGACAAACCTAACGAGATATCTAAATGTAGAGCAATAGCTTTATGGGGAGCGAGTAGTTACCAACCACTAGATGCTGTGTTTCGATGGAATGATGGAGTCACATATTTTTTCAAAGGATTTTGTTATTACCACAATGATCTCAAAAAATGTAAGCCAATTTCGGCTTGGGGAGGGATCAGTAAACCTGTAAGTGCCGTATTGCTGTGGAATAATAAGGAGACATACTTTTTTGAAGGAAAATGTTATCACAGTTATGAGGCCAAAAATAATAGTATTTCAAAGTGTATACCAATTTCTACGTGGGCCAAAAAAATTAGAGTTGTTGATGCTGTATTTCGTTGGAGCAACGGGATCACATACTTCTTCAAGGGAGATTGTTACTACCGGTATGAGGATAAAACTAATAAGTTGTCACAGTGTAGTCCAGTTACTGAATGGGGAGGAATGACTGGACCAGTGGATGCAGTATTTCGCTGGAGTAATGGAGCCACTTACTTCTTCCAGGGAAACTGCTATTACCGATACGATGACAAAAATAACAAGTTGTCACAATGTAGTCCAGTTACTGCATGGGGAGGAATGACCGGACCAGTTGATGCTGTATTTCGCTGGAGTAATGGAGCCACTTACTTCTTCAAGGAAGATTGCTACATGAAGTACGAGGACAAACCCCAAAAACTCTCTGGTTGTAATCCAATTTCTGCTTGGGGAGGAGGAATATACTAATTTTTTTTTCCATAGAAGAAAAAACTGAAGGTAGTTGCAGTTCTAGAAGATAACATCAGTCACTGGAATTATTCAGAATGCCGTTATATTAATTAATCTCTTTTTGTTTTATTTTGGCCTGTTTATTTGTATCACTGGATTCAATATAAAAATATTAATATTTCTTAATCTGTACTTGATGATGTTATATTTTTATGTTAAGTGATGTGAGAGTTTGTTTACGTTAACCAGAGAACAAGATCCAAATTATCTACTGGAGTATAAGTTTTGTTAATAAAGAGCTTAAGAACAATAATTTTAAAATCTATAATAATAAATAATGTTCCACATTTTGTGTATTTTTAAGATTGTATGTTGCTATATACCAAATAAAAATTGAAGATAAAGGAATATATATATCATAAAAAATCTAATGCTCTTTCCAAGATTGTCATTGTATCAAATTAATCTATGTGGCAGCTATTGATTTACATTAGAGCCACTTCTACGTAACTTACTTACAGAATTTAATATTTTATTATTTAATTTAAGACCGTTGCTTTGTGCTATTGTATGATGTGGCAACATTAAGAAAATTATGCTAGTTAAACACATATTTCAAGCACTTCTGTATTTTCAAGACAAAATAACTTTTTTAAACAATTTAGGGAAAACTGACTATGACAAGAAAATGAGTAGTTAGGACTGTACTTTAAACACGTGTGCTGATTGACTGCCTCACCAGAGAATGCTACTGTCTTAGGGTCCACGAAGTGTCAGCAGAGGGCGCTTTGCTAGGTCGCCATAACAAATGGTTGTTGTCATGCCACCAAGACTCTTGACAATGGAAGTTGTCTGCTGTCTGAGGGCGTGGCTAGGAGTGACATCATAGTTAGTGTTACTCAATAGAGAGAGAGAGAGAGTGCTGCTAAGGCGACGAAATGGTACCAGAGGACACACTGATATTATGAGTGCACAGATAGCGAGTGAGTCATCATAGAGTGATGTAGATCAACATGACATCATCTTCATAACAACAACAAAAGTCTTAAAATTAATAATTTAATCTAATTTGCATAACATTGTGTTTACAGTTATCAGTACTGAAAAGGTTTTTAACAGTTTTGCTTTATAAGTAAAACATTAAATCTGCTATCTTCATCTTTATAGTTTTCTCTTACATATTTCATACAAAGGCAGATGGTGTTTTTATAGGTGGATAGTGTTACTATACTTCCATAGGACTGCATATAGATTTCATTTATTCTCAACATATGTTTAGAGTTTTCATTTATATATTTAACTGTTTTTCTACTGGCAGATGGAGTTACTAAGGTCCTATTGGCCAATGATGCTAATGAAGACAATGTTAACATAGTTTGTAGGATCATCGATTAATCAACAGTATTTTACCTTATGTGCCATGCATACTTTTTACAAATATCTGTCCTGAAAAGGAAACATTTTTCGTGATAACATCTCTAAATTTCATGCCTTAATTTAATATACAATTAAATGTTTATACAATTACTGTTTCACTAGTTTTAGCTCTATGGATTAAATATATTCTTATGCTATTCCTCTACCCATATAACTATGAATTTTACTGTGTATAACAGTAAATGAGTTCTTGACAAAATATTTCATTTTACTGGTGTTAACAGTTACTTTATAGTTTTTACCTACATATTACATATGTTATACAAAAGATGACAGTGCTTCTATGGGCAGATTTTGCTATTTTTACAAGGTCTTACTGAGATTCTATAGGCAGATAGTTTTACTAGATGTGTTTTACAAATGTGAAAAGTGTTTCTATAAGTGGACAGTGTTCCTATACTTCGTTAGGACTGAATATATACTTCAACTTGCCTCAGCTAATGCTTATTCTTTTCATTTAAATATTCAGCTGTATTACATGTGTATCTAAGGAGGATGGTGTTTCTATAAGCAGACAGTGTTACCATACTTCTTTCGTAAGAATCCACACAGAATTCAACTTGTTTCAACTTATGTTTATAATTTTTAATTTATGTATTTAAGTGTATTAAATGTGTTTTACAAACGCGCATGGTGTTACTAGATGGATTGTGTTACTAAGGTTCTATAGACAGATGGTATTGGGTGGCAAATTGATTTACTAATATGCTATTTATGAAAACATCTTAGTTTATAAAATACTGATTTACAGCCCAATGTAATAATACCTGAGGTATGTACTTGTTCTAGCATGCTATTAGTCACATAGAATAAATCGCCATAAATGAAACATAAGGGACATTCCCCAAAATGATTTCAGCTAAAATATGATCAAAGTATAATTTTTCTGGTTACCATTCATATGCCATTCATTTACTGGTGCTACTTTTGTCATACTACTCACATGTCAATACAAACTCATCTGTGTAATATAACTAAGGAGCTTATCCATATACTAAGTTAAATATTCACTTGCATTTTATTTGAATAAGTGTATGAAAGTCATTCTGTGTGTAAAGTTTGGCACACTGAACCTTGAAACAGAATATTCAAAACAGGTATTCCCATATTTCAGATTCCAGTAGGGTGAAACATTCTGCACGTAACAACTAAAAACAACTAAATTTAACTTTAATCCAAAAACTGTAGGTACATGACAACTTTCATTTTTTGTATTATTTAGTATCTATTAAACAACAACAACATATATATATAAATCCAAACTGAAAATGAATTTTATTGCATTCTAGAATTTTCATACAAAAACTCTACAAATATTACAAATACACACTTCTGGAAAGAGAAACTAATGCTTTTACAAAAACTACCATTTATTTCCTGCCAGTCATAAGGTGTTTAATACTGTTACAAGGACTCCTTAAATTCATCAAGGCCAATCATCTCTTCGTCTACGGCCTCCGTACCCAGCTCTGCTTCCTCGTCCTCTTCCCCGACGACACACGGCATCTTCTGCATCTTTCTTCTCCTTCCATGCTGCATAACGATCAGCCATGGCAAACAAGTCTTCAGGAACATCCTATACAAAAAATATGAAACAAAATAATAAAATTTGGTAAACTGAGTGAACTTGTTTATTATATAAAAAACATTATTTGATCTATCCCTACCAGAATAAAATTTTATTTTGCATTGTCCTTCCTTCACTGAAACACTTTTATATAAACTTATTAGCACCAAAATGAAAATTTGATTTGTATGCTGTTTCATTTTGGGCAAGTCAAATGTAACAAAGAGCATATTAACTTTGATTTAAAAGGTGATACAAAAATTACAATTTGTTCATTTAAGAACAAGCATATTGTTCAAGACTCATAACGTTAGTTAATAAATGATGGAAAAAAAAAGATTAACATGACTATTCTCTTTCTTAGTTTTTTTTTCTTTCTTACAACATTTCTACTACATTGTAAGTGTCATCAGACTTAATGATATTGATCTCAGATTGTGAACTAAATAACACAAACAGATGAAAAAATTCATCTTAAATGAGATGAATATCTGTGAACATAGATCTTCAGCATCACTGTTGACCTACAGTACAATTTAATGCTATTTTAAAATTCAATACCTTTAAAACCAGTTCTATAAATTGAATTACTTTACAATAATCAATATTAACATAAATAATACAAATTCAGTACACCTAAATTAAATGTCCAGAAAATTAGAAACATCCAACAAAGTTTGAATATAAACCGTAGAAGGTTTTACAAGGAATAGTCAACACACATAGCACTTATAATATAATGAACCAAGATGGACATGACACCCCTGTATGTAATCAAATGAATGAGTCACTTTTAAACTCTCTTAGCATTTACATGACATCAAACCAAGGTGGACATATCTCCTATCTGTAATTCAGTGAATACATTTTCCATCATTCTTAGTATATATTAAACCAATGTGGACATGACAAGTCTGTAATTCAATAAATGAGTGATTTTTCTTAGCATATATATGATATCAAACCAAGATGAACATGACATCCCATCCTTATTGAATGGGTCACTTTTCATCTCTCTTAGCATATATACGATATCAAACCAAGATGAACATGACATCCCATCCTTATTGAATGGGTCACTTTTCATCTCTCTTAGCATATATATGATATCAAACCAAGATGAACATGACATCCCATCCTTATTGAATGGGTCGCTTTTCATCTCTCTTAGCGTATATACGATATCAAACCAATGTGAACAAAACATCACCAGCGTGTAATTCAAAGAATGATGTTGATTTTTTAAAACTATTAAAAAGGTACAACAGAATAAGATTTAATAGTAGTATAAACTTCCCTTGGCATTATTTAAGAGTACAAATGGTGACAAACTGCTTAAATATACTAGATATTATTAAAAACATGTCACAATACTTTGTTGTTCTTGAGACTTTTTTGTCCTGTTTATTAAAATTCTAACTATTCTCACTGTTACTACAAAACACTTAGAGAATATGCTCATAACATTAAGCCTTTAAATTGGGGGAATAATTGTCAACTCTCTCTTCAGATAACAGGTATATTAAATGTTGGTCTGATAATATGTAAAATACTGTCAATCATTGTTTCTTAGAGCAGGTGGGAGTTTCCTGTCTAAAGGAGATTTTACTTAGAAAACTGTGAAAAATGAAGAGTGATGTGATGTTTCTTGTATTACTATACATACAAGCTGTACTATCAGTTTTATGATGAACCATGAAGTGGTGAACATCATTTTTGTTAACTATTTTTACTACCACCCCTTTTTTTTTGCTCATATTATCATTGACTATGCAGCTGTATGACAAACAATTCTATGATACATGTTACAGTTTAAATACCAAAAGCTAGAAAAGTATTGGAAAACCTAACATAATTATAAATTACGCATGTTTCTAATTATCAAACATATCATTAAATAATCAAACAATTCTTACTTAAGTTTCTCTAATTGTTTTGATATTAAATAATCATAAAAGATTCAAGATAAGTCTAACAAAGTGATTAAATATGTAAGTTTGAGTATAAACCATCATATATTGTGCACACAAAAAATTACTTACCTGCCCAGCTTCCTCCATAATATGAATAAGCTCTTGGGCATTTTTCCAGTCTTCTCTCGTAACTAAAGTTAAAGATTCTCCTGTTCGCCTTCAGAAGGAAAAACGTTTTTTTTAAAACTATCTCCCATGTTACAAAACTTAAAACAAAACCAAAACCTACAAACCTGAGATCTCTTATGTAAATTACAATAATTCATATACACCAAAACTTATTTTTACATATTAAGTATATATAACAAATCTTTAGGTAAATTGTGTTTTTAAACTATCAAGTTATAAAATAGTTCTTATTCTATTATTTTACACATTAGTTATCAAACTTTGAACATATTTACCATAATAAAACTTCTTTTTAGTTTTGAAATTAAAATATATGTATCTAGTTTTCTTCCTGCTAATCAAAGATAAACCACTTTAACTTAATATTCAAAAACTTATGGACTTATCCAGCTAATAACATAAAATAAAAGTAATAGAAATTTATTTGTTCTACAAAATCTTTACTTAATAAACTTCTCATACATAAACTTTTATTCTTGTTTTGAAACAGTCAACATATTTATCAAGTTAATCCTTTATTTGTCACTGATATCTCCTGATGCTTTTCCTTCACACAGTGGAAATACTCAACTAAATTGCATGAACTTAGAACAAAGTTACTAAATAGTATCTAGGTTTTCATATAATTTTTTATGTCACAAAATTTCCAAAATTTTGAGACTTTTTAAAAATGTCCTTTTATAAATATATATTTAATTTCAATTTCATTAATTTTTTAAACATATTTCTTTTGATACTTTATTTTTCCAATTGCAATAGACACTGCTTCTGTCTATAAGTAAAGAAAAAACACTACATAAACCGAAAAAGATTTATCAATGACTAAAGACTTGATCTTTCAAAATTTATCAGATCAAGGCAGGTAAGAATTTGTTGCTAACAATATTCTTGGTTGAGATAAATTTGTATCTAATTACCAGATGTTGTACAAAAAGCTTCTATAACTTTCAAACAAATATAATTTACAAAAAACAAAAAATTTTTCAAGAATGAAAAGAACATCTCGAGAAATATAAAAAATTTCCTGATTTGTGGTTTGTTCCTAAATCTTCTAAGCTCTCAATTGTTTTCTTGCAGTAACTATGTCTTGTCTCTTTCCAATGAAATTATAAGTTACTTTTCATGCTGCTATATTCGTATAACATTGATGTTTAGTTTGTAACATGCTCTGTCCAATGGCATAACTTTACCTATAGCAATCTCAAAGCTGAGTTTCATTAGAAGTTGTTCAGATCACAATCTGCGAGAACATAAAAATGGGAACAAGAGGCTGTAAAAGTAAAATCATGAGAAACAAACTGTGATAATTGTATTCTGAAAGGATGATACTGTTCAGCAATTATAAATCTATACTTTGGGATGATAAGAAAACTTCTGAAAAAAATCAACACTTACATAATCTTTGATAGGTTGTTTAGGCAGAGTATTCATAATGAATCTAAGTTTCAAATGGA